TGCATCACTACACATAGCCGAATGTGGCCTCCCGTAAACTGCCGAACTCCTCCCAACCATGGTTTAGGCAAATAGTAGGTCAGGAGTAGCCTCTACCAGGCTTCGGAAAGCGGCTGGAAAGATTTAAAATCGGCCAAATAGAGAGATAGCATGCCAGGGGAGTTGGTCTGCTGGAGAGAACAGTTTGCCGGGACCCCCGACAGGCTTCAGAAGCGGCAAACTGGCGGACCAACTCCCTCGGCATGTTATCTCTCTATTTGGCCGATTTCTACTCTTTCCAGCCGCTTTCCAGCCGCCTCCCGAAGCCTGGTAGAGGCTAGGTCGGGAGCAAGGTCGGCTGTGGTTGGCTTGTACAATTGTGTTCGGCCAGGTCAACTACTGTTAGGATGCGCCAGCCGACTGTTTTAAAATGCTTAACGGGAGGTTTGACCATGGTTGGCTGGTGGTTGCCTGATGTTCGTGAGTAGTTTAGCAATGTCAAATTTAATTCAAATTTTACTCAAATTCAACTCGATTCGTATAGAAATGTATGTGCGGCCTAAACTTGTATCACACTGCTCCAGAACTTGAGCAAACTTTAATTGGTAGGTGTTCGGGGAAAGGTTCTGGATGTGTGGCAGGGGCTTTTTTTTTTATTTATTCAGCATACAGTAAACAAAATTAGGGTACAGGACACAGTGACGACGGGCTCAAGTTACGTAACTTATGTTAGCGCCGCCACTTATACGAATAAAACTAATATTACTAGACAATGCAAAACACTAACGAAGAATACATATGAAAGAAAAACACAGTCGAATTGATGAAGCGAGAGTCCAACATTCCCCACCCAAGGTGAAAAGGACACAATAGAATTAAAAACGTTTTGTTGCTAAGATGTAGTTTTGGGCGGTTGACATAATGTTACAGTTAACTCGAAAAGAATAAACAGGGGAACCGTTCAAAATTAAGAGTTGTTTCGCTCTATCTGAAAGGGGCAGGGGCTTTAGGTACCGGCTTTGTAAAGAGCAAACTCAGCAAACAGTTTCCAATACAGACCATCCGGCTATAGCTTAATTAAGGACCGGCCAATAGATAAATGATCAAGTCAAGCAATAACGTTCTCGCCCATTGATCTGTGTGGTTTCTATGGGTAATAAAACAACGTGAACCTAGAGGTCTGATAAAGGGTGAGATGTGTGGATTAAAGCTGCACTGTGTAACATTAGGACGATACAAGAAGCCAATTTTCTGGCGATTTCTTTAGGCCACAGCAAGTAATTTTTATGTATGACATCAGCGCGCGCATTAATTTTCGCCTGATTTTGGAAAAAAAGAAGAAAATTTGTTGCCTTCTGACAGTTGTCAATATGCCGAAAATTGGGAAAAGATGTCTGCTGCCATGCCGGAAGGTGGATGGCAGATAACTATGAAGAGAGGATACAAGAAAAGGCTCTGATTTAATGTTCTGTTTCTAACTTTGATGCAGTGATATGTGATGTTGGCTGTGTATATGTGATGTTCCCACTGAATCAAAACCATTTGTACAATGATTGAGTCAAAATTTAAATTGTAGGAACCTTGTTTTTTTCGGCCCGCCTTGTTTTTTTTCGCCGCTCGCATTAGATTTGGAGTCTGCAGAGGATGTCATCCATAAAATTTACTTGCTGTGGCCTTACTAAATATGTTGAATCAACCCTACTCCATTGCAAATAAGTGCCCTTCAGGAAGTGGAATTGACAAAATATGACGCCTTACGTGTGTGTTTAAGGTAGCAGAACACAGTTTTCGCCCTATGGGGATTTCTATAGTTAAGGACCCCAAGATAACTCACTTCGACGCGGTAAAAATTATAGCAGGGTGCATTTCACAAATACGAAAATCGAATATGTTTCAGAAGAAGGTACAAACTACAAAATATCTAGAAACCAAAAAATCCTGTCGGCGTATCTGCTCGTAACGTACACTTTGAAATCGCCTCCTACGGACGTGACCTGAACTGCAGCCGACTCACCCGGAAAGCCAGTTGCGCAATACGGCGCATTTATACACGAACTGCAAAACCTTCACAATTCAAATCATACAGTCTCAAACTCGATACATTCCTACACCACACAGCACAATTTACATCTGGCTGACGCTCTTATCAGGCTTTCTACCCAGCCTTCAAGAATATTCGCTGCACTACTTTCTATACCCGCGTCATCGTCCCCGGGGGTCGCCCATTAATACTGTGACCTGCTACCTTAAGGTGGCAGAACACATTTTTTGCCCTATGGGGATTAAGAATTATAGTAGGGTGCACTAGAGGAACACGGCCAACTAATATGTTACAATATACTAGTATATTACAATTTAGAGTATAATCTACAAAATAACTGGCGCCCCTGAAATTGCATTGGAACAGCCCATGGAAAATCAATAGAAAGAAGCAGTTAAATCCCACTGAACTATCATAGAAAATCCATCCCTTGAAATACGCAATCCTTGAAGGTGGACCCGCATTGTTTCTAACAGAAGAAAAAAAACATAACGTAAAAGCAAACGTTATTTAAAACACGATTACTCCTTATGATCATAACATTCCTGACATTTAATCGTTATGCTGGCAAATCTGTTAAGCCCCTCCGGCTGCCAAGGGCGGGAATCTTGCCAGGCCATACGTCAAAACAAAGCTCACATCTTGTCGGTATCTGCCCACACCTTGTTTGTCCAGATTGAAGCTCTCAAACAAAGCGGTCGATAGGGTCAAACTAGTATTGGGCGGTGTCGAGCTGCTTAAAACTACAGTCGTTTACGGTGTCAGTGGTGATTATATCAGAACAAACTTCGCTCGTACAGACTATTCAAATCTACTTATAATGAAGAACATTATCTTAAAATCCCAAACGGAAGTCAAAGAACCACCATCACCAAACCACGAATCAGCTGTCATAAACTCAGCATCGAAACAGGAAGGCACAACCGCACACCTCTGGAGCAAAGAATTTGCCAATTTTGTAGCTCAAACAAAGTAGAAGATGAAGCCCACTTTGTTATTGATTGTAGTTTATATAGTAATGAAATAAATTATCTTTTTATATATATTACAAGTACGTTTCTATACTTCCAATACTTGTCTAATATTGAAAATTTGTCTTTCTTATGCGCTTTGATCATCCTGTACTATACAAACCCATTTCAAATTATATTTTTAACATCACAAAGAAACGAGAAGAAGCTGAGCCTCTGTATTAGAGTAGTTTCAGAGCTGTTTGTACTACAAACATGTATATTACCTATTTCATCTGTTGACCTGTACTTAGCCCGATAGGGCATGAATGTACAATAAAGGTTATTATTATTATTATTATTATTATTATTAAGCATTATGTAGCAAGTGGCAGGACAGCGATGGAGGGACGGGTCATCATGGTTTTTTTTAACGTTTAAACGTGGTGATGCACTCTAGCGAAATAACGTATTATATCAACGTTACGACATAAAATGATAATAACAACACAATACAAAACGAGTCCCGAAAGAATCCGTCCACCCAAACGCGAGAAACAGCTGCGAACGTGAAAATCTACATCTCCCACAAAACCTTTCCGCGGAAGGATATATCCTCCCCCGGAGGTAAATATCAAATATATAAGGTCCAACGTACATTTGAACTAGCCAGGGTACCATCCTACTTGTATGCCGGGGCTCCTACACTCGCTTCCCTTAAGGCTACATTTGAACAGGTACAGAATTAAAACATTAAGCTGATTTTATCTGAATTTAAATCAGGAAAGTAATCGTTCAGTTTCGTATAACGATATCATGTAATTTCTGTCGTAGAAAGATGATGACTTTTAGAATAATATTACGCGGTATAATTGGAAACAACAGAGGGAGGTAACGTCCACGTAGTAATATACAACCTCGGGGAGATGGACTAGCAGTACTTAACGTCTGGGTAATATACTTGTGGCGTCTGGAACAATCAAGCGGCGCCAAAGTCAGCCCCCTTCGGTATGTTTTATCTTATAGCTGCCCCGAGACACTCTATATACTCTAAACTTCATTTGGACGGTTACCTTCAGCAAATGAACTTACATATGTCAATTATTTTTTAAATATTTCCTACTTCAAAAGCGAAATCAAATCATCCATACATGACTATATTGTAAGTCATATGCTGTCATCGACAATATTTGGTAGTTATAATTATATATACACATACACACAGATAAGTAGAAGACGAGGTACATTTTACCGTAGATTGTCCCTTGTATTATAGCGGAAAAAGCATGATTCTTTTCGATCATGTAGTAAGCACATTTCCCAATTTTAGATATTTGAATAGAACATTTTTTTAATATATTCCCTGCAGCCTTCGATAAATCAGCTCTACCTAATCATACAGACACCTACATTAATACAATTAGTTGAATTACCAAGAAGTGAGAAGTCAAAAGTACTTGTGTATACTAGATGTATATATATTGTATAAGAATCACATTTTGGAAAAGGTGGGACATTACGTCTTCCATGGTTTACAGAAGAGAAGTCAAACCCTTTAGACATAGTTATAGTTCTAGACAGCTACCTTTATCATGTAGACTTTATTTATTTTATTTATTGTTTGATTCAGGCAAAGCCCATAGACAACATAGACAACAC